AATTAAATACCGCGCGCACGACTACGTTTACAAATTATAAGTCTGTAATAACAATTGATTCACAGAAATCTGTGTTACGGTTTATGGTTAAAAACACACAAATAAAAATTAAAAGCCGGCTTCAAATAACACACGTCAGAATGTAAAATAATTTTATTGTTTCTGGTTATTTGAAGCCCGCTTTTACTTTGTATAAAAGGTAATTAATTTTATTTTTCAAGCAATAGTAATAGGAAACAAAGATATTAAGGTAGGATAGAAAGGTAACCAACTGGCAATGGGCCAGCCATATACCTCAAAGAACCGACAACCATTGAGGAAGAAAGATTCTCGAGTCCCCCCCCCCCCCTCCCGCACTAGATGGATTGACGTCCAGATGAAATGGCTTAGGACCTTATTTTGTGTCAATTTATAGGGAAAGTTCATGGTCAGGTCCATGTTCAACTGTTGACTTACGATGGGTTGTAGTAGTAGTAATTATTGAATATAGCTTCATCCTCTATTTGGCCACCCTTAGGGGTGGATTTTTTTTCGAAATTTATATGAGATCACCCTATTTAATTAAAAAAATTAAAATAGGCAAACGGTAAAATCCTTTTTTAAAGTCTGCATTAAATACTACTTTCAGTAAATACTAACTTTGCACAAGCGCAATGTATTAAAGTTTCTGTTTTTGTGTAGACCATAAATAAGACAAAAGTGAAAAAAAAACGATGCATGTAAATAGGCGGGAGGATACGCGTGCATTTGTATCGCTCTATTTACCCTCTCTCTGTCTTTCTCTCGGTGTGGGTGCGCGTGGGTGTGCGAGTGTTTGTGCGTGTGTGTGTGTGTGCGTGCGTGCGTGCGTGTGTGTGTGTGTGTGTGTGTGTGTGCACGTGCGTGCGTGTGTGTGTGCGTGTTCGTGTGCGATTACGTGTGCGTGTGCGTGTGTATATCAAAATTGAGCATGAGACTACTTTATGTTAGCCAATCCGTGACAATGTTAAAACCTAATAATATGGCGGACTTAATGCCATAAGGCAGTAAACCCTTAGGCCGACAGAGATAGACATGTAAAAGGGCGGTGCAGCGAAAATAAAAAAAATAAAAAGATAATAAATGGTGAAACTATATTAAATATAAATATACATAATATATTCTATGATGTTGGGAGCTAAGCCAGAAATTAAACTCACTGATGCAGGTTAACAATAATAATTTATTAAATTGAAAGAGATATAATATTTTGTATAGTAATTATGGCGTAGTTGCATAGGATGTTCCAGGTAGAGGCACGTGAATGATGTTTTCTTCTATGAATATAATATGATATTACTGAACTAATTTCATGAAGACACGTGTACTCCATATATGGAGGATATTATTTAATATTACAGTTACATTTCTTAGTCATAATACCGACACTACTATACATTTTATGTATATTCGAATATTATTTATTTACACACATATTTATACACATTTTTTTTATAGGATAAGGGTGACAAACGAGCACAGTCCACCTAATGGTAAGTGGTTGCTGCGGCCCATAGACATCTTCATCTATCCTCGTTTGCGAATCAAAATGCAGATGCGTTGCCACCCGTGAGGACTAAGATGGAATGCCTCATTTCCAGTAAAAAGGGCCTCCGGCCACCTGCACTCACCAAGCGAAACGCAGAGGTAAACCTCTACTTTACGCTGGTTTTCTGTGAGGTCGTGGTACCACCCCGGTTCGAGCCGGCCCATCCGTGCGACAGCAAAAGCTGCCGCGTGGCTCTACCACTGTTACATAGTTAAACGTTGTTAACTTTTGTTACTTTAGTTTGGCATTAATAACCTTTTTATATTTTGTTTAAAATTGCAAAAGAGACGTTTTCAGTATTGACTTAAACTTAACTTCTTAAATAGTTAAAGCCATATACAAGATCAAACATAAAAAGTAACATAATATTTATTTCAAACGTAAGAGCATATTTTAAGACAAAATTAAAAGTGATGCTAAGTACTATTTAACTTATATAATATATTTCACAAATTGTTAGACCTTTTTCATTAGGCATTGTAGTGTTTGCATATATGTAGTATACAGTAAATATTGTTATTTGTTTTATTTACAAATAATTTACCATGCACAAATACACAAACATACATTTATATAAGTAAAACATATATATAAGTCACTGTCTCGAGCGTACCGCGTCAGTTACACGAGAGCCTCGGGCGAGAGTGGACGTGCTTAGTAAGTGAGTGTCGAGCCTGTGTTACACTACAAGGATAAGAGAAGATAGCAGACATTACAAGTGGCGACGAGGAAAAAGATAAGTACCTATTTAGTATAAAGGTATAATCAAAAATAGGTTAGCAATGTGCTACTATTAGCATTGCAATTGTAAATTAATTCCTAGAGTACCCGCGGAAAAAAAACTGTGGATTATGAATTATGATTTATTGTTTTTAACCTTGTTCTGATCATTTTAATAATTTATATAAATTATATGTTCGCATATGACCACGCTTATGGTGTGCAAAAATTTATTTTCTTTATGTAGCAATGATAAAATAATGATTTATTTTAACATATGTCTATTAGCAGAACATTTATTTAAAAAGATTTTTAATGGAAAAATAGTAGATGTTACTAAAAACTCCTCTCGATTCGAACCGAAATACAATGTCGTTAGCTATATTTTAGTGGCATTTTATATGTAGGTGTGATATTTATCGCCTTTAATGAAAATACTATTTTACTGCTTTCATGGCATATACTCGTATAAGTCTTACAAAAAATCGTGAACACTTCACGACTTCTGTACATTGCATAGTAGGTAACTAGTAATATTGTTAATGCGCAGTATAGGTATTGAATTTACCCAAAGCCTAAATGGCACAGCAATGGAAGTAGTCAGTATAACAAATAAACCGAAAGAGAAGGGCGACTGTTATGGAACATATTATTATCATGAAATTGAGTTTGGGTACCAAGATACCAACCATTAAATTGGTGTTGGGTACTAAGATACCATCATTAAATTGAGTTTGGGTACAAAGATACCATCATTAATTTGAGTTGGGTACTAAGATACCATCATTAAATTGAGTTTGGGTACTAAGATACCATCATTAAATTGAGTTAGGGTACTAAGATACCACAATTAAATTGGAGTTTGGGCACTAAGGTACCACCATTAAATTGAACTTTGGGTACTAAGTTACTACCATTAAATTGGACTTTGTGTACTAAGTTACTACCATTAAATTGGACTTTGGGTACTAAGTTACTACCATTAAATTGGACTCTGGGTACTAAGTTACTACCATTAAATTGGACTTTGGGTACTAAGTTACTACCATTAAATACTAAGGTACCACCATTAAATTGAACTTTGGGTACTAAGTTACTACCATTAAATTGGACTTTGTGTACTAAGTTACTACCATTAAATTGGACTTTGGGTACTAAGTTACTACCATTAAATTGGACTCTGGGTACTAAGTTACTACCATTAAATTGGACTTTGGGTACTAAGTTACTACCATTAAATTGGCCTTTGGGTATTAAAATACCAGCATTAAATTGGAAAAAAAATATAAGAAACTGTTTCAGTTTGCCCCTAAAATAATAATAATAATGATACCGTTATCAGCTTTAATTTGATAGCACATCTATGGCTATAAGGTGTGAAAAATGGAAAAGGTCTCTACTAATCTATCTGGACGCAGCTGAAGTTATATCAGCACTCAAGAACCGAGCTACGCTATTGCATTTTGGTGGCTCTGGGATACAAGGAATATTCTACAATTTACCGGGTGCCAAAGTCGAATCATCAGAAACCGTTGATGTATTTAAAGTAGCCATAAAAAATTCGACGAGTAATTCGAGACGAGCGAACTTATGAGCGGCATGTTTTCGATTGCTAAAACAAGAAAAAGGAGAAACATTTGAGAAGTTTTTGATAAGATTGCGTCAACAGGCCGAAAAGTGTGCATTCGAAAAGCAAGATGATCATTTCATAGATCAAATTGCGGAAAAGTGTAATTCGAAATTGCGCAAGAACCTTATATCTTACAAAACGTGGGAAGAGTTAAAAAGCAAAAAAGTATATGATTTCAATCAAATGTAAAGACCAGACAAGACATTATTAGCAAATGGTAGTAACTCTCCTTTGGCATTAGAAGGTTCATTTGAAACTATACTCGAAGTCGATGGACGAAAGGAACATACAACCATTTACGTGATTTCGGGGGGTACTAGAGACCTGTTTGGTAAGAACACAGCAGTCCGTCTGGGTGTCTTAAAACTTGGTATCGGGATAAATCAAGTGGAGAGTAAAAGCAAGCCGATCCCCATTAAAGAGAAGGTTGCAATCAAAATTAAGGAATCACTAAACAGTGATATAATTGAAGAAATGCAAGGCCCGTCTAAATGGGTTTCACCAATGTTCCAATCATGAAAGAAAATGGTGAATTACGTTTTTGCGTAGATATGAGATGTACGAACGCCGTTATATTGCGAGAAAACCACCCCCTGCCTACTATGGACCATTTTTGCCTAAAATAAAAAAAAATTAACAAATTAGACATAAATAAATGGCTTCCATCAAGTGGAAATTCCCTCTGAATCCAGACACATAACGACTTTTATAACCCCCAAAAGATTATATAGATATAAAAGAATAATGCTTGGAATTACCTGCGCTTCAGAGATTTTTCAGAAGATCATTGAAAGGATGCTGATAAACTGTGAAGGGGTCGTCAATTTTATTGATGATATCCTGGTATTCGGGAACAGTGAAGAAGAATATGACGCATGACTAAAGAAAGTTCTACAGGTACTTAGTGAAAACAACGCCATGCTGAATAGCAATAAATGCATATATAAAACGCAGGATGTGAATTTTCTGGGACACAGGCTTACACATGAAGGAGTAAACCCTTTAACAAGTACGTTGAGAGCATTTTGAAATTTAGGGTCCCAAAGACCTCGTATGCACGAGGGTCATCCAGGTTTCGTAGCGATGAAGGGACGCTTGAGATCAAAGGTATGGTGGCCCCGTATCGATAAAGACGTAGAACAATTAGTAAAAGCCTGTAAAGGTTGTACGTTAGTGGGGTTGCCAAACCCAACTACACCAATGAAGAGACGAGAGTTGCCTGCAGCTCCATGGATAGATGTCACAATGGATCTAATGGGACCATTGCCAAGTAACGAGTATCTTTTAGTAGTGGTCGACTACTATAGTCGATACAAAGAAGTAAACAATTACAAAAACATCACAAGCTTACAGATTATTAAAATGGTAAAAGAAATGTTCTGTAGACTTGTTTATCCTATTTCTATCACCGCAGACAATGGCAAGCAGTTCGTTAGTGAAGAGTTTCGATCTTTCTGCAAAAAATGTAACATTAAGTTATTTAGTACTATACCATATTGGCCTCAAATGATCGGCGAAGTTGAAAGACAAAACAGAGATATTTTGAAACGTCTTCGTATCAGCCAGATCGAGAGGAAGGATTTAAAATAATATTTGTGGGAGTATCTTCTAATGTATAACAGCACCCCTCCTTACAGTTACCGGGAGGTTACCGTCTGAACAGTTTTTTCAACGAAAAAGTAGGGATAAAATTCCATCAATAGGTGAAATAAATTACAGACAATCATTTTGATTCAGATATCAGGGATAGAGACAAAATCCAAAAAAAAAAGGAAAAGAGTATGTATATAGGAAACGCAGAGCAACTCACTCAGATATAATACAGGGAGATAAGGTTTACGTAAAAGCAGTGGAAAATAATTAATACAGACAATACAAGCTGCTTTGTGATTGTTATGAGTTATAATGAAAAAAAGAAAAAATCTTGATAAGAAAGAGATGTAATGTTTCCATATATGTAGTATACAGTAAATATTGTTATTTTTTATTATATATATATATATTGTTAGTTTTATTTACTAATAATTTACCATGCACAAATACACAAACATACATTTATATATAAGTCACTGTCTCGAGCGTACCGCGTCAGTTACACGAGAGCCGCGGGCGAGAATAGACGTGTTTAGTAAGTGAGTGTCGAGCCTGTGTTACACTACAAGGATTAGAGACGATAGCAGACATTACAGGAATTATAAAACTTCTAGATCTAATTTGATGCTCCTAAATAGAATGAATTTGAGACTCAAGTAAAATGTTTATACCAAGAGCCAATTTTTCATTCACCAGAAAAATCTCATAGGATAAAATACATAAATAATACACAAACAAATATATGTCGTAACTTTATCAACAAGATCCCCCTTCTGATGTCGGAACTTTATCACAAGATCCCACTTCTGATATTGGAACTGTACAACAGGAAATCCCACTCCAGACCTCGGAAAAAACATCAGGATAGCCTTAATTGTTAAAAATATTAAAAGTGTGAGCGCGGATGTTCAACCTGCTCTCTTTCTTTTTTCTTTAATTAATCATTATCAATATTAAGATAGCGTAACGCACTATACATTCAGTAAAGAGCAATTACAGTTCGACCACACCGTAATATTATGTCCCCGTGGTGGTGTAACGTGAAGTGTGCAAACCAACACCACCCATCTCAATGTAACGCAGGGCAGCCTCTGAGCAACACTATCCTCCTTGCCTGCACCAAAAGAACCACCACAACGGACAGAACCACGACACTATCTTAGCACTCGTAGAATGACTTCACTCTTATAATTACTTAAGCAGATCCTCTTGCACTCGGCACCTTCACTGAATTTTATACTGCACAAACAAGTAAGGATTTCCAATCTACCCTCAATGCTACTCTTCCACCATCGATATGACGCTCCGCTAAGTTGACGCAACCTCTTCTCGCTCACTCTCGTTCCATCCGGTATTTTATGGACACACCTTCATATACAATAGGATAATATACATAAACAACAATAAACAAACATATACAAATTAAAAATTACAATAAAACAGTTTAATCGTTTCGCTTTTATATTCAGTCAATTTAAAATCTATTTGATGGAAAACTTTTATCTAACTATTGAAAAATCAACGCTAAATGGCCCTATGGCTAACTTTAACGCCCGTTACCTTAGTAAGTAAAAAAGTAAAGTCAGACTATATACGCTCCACAGGTGGACACAGGCTTCCTCTAATTTCTTAGACGGTTTTAAGACAAGGAAATGTCCGCCGCGCTGCCTCAATGCGTGTCGGCGAACTTCACATGTTTTAGAAATATTTTTTTCTTATTTCTCAGATATGCAGGTCTCCTCACGATGTTTTCCTTTACCGCCGAGCTCGTGTTAAATCAGTTCTTAAAATTGCAATTAACAATTTCATTGGAGAAGGCGGGAATCACACCCGGGTTGCTTGCGAACTATGTAATTTACAGCGAGCGCTTAGCCCTGAGCTACCACGGCTTCCGTTACCTTAGTTTAGCCTAAATGCCGTGGAGCTAGGCTTGGTTAAGTGATTAAGCTTGGTTTACAGATAAATCTTGTTAAGTTTTTGCGACACGGTGTTATAATAAATTTAAGCTTTTTATTTCATTTATTTTAATAATAAATTACCGCGTACTCCACAATGAAGAAAAACGTTATGAGGAAACTTGCATGTCATAGTCAGATTAAAAAAATTATTTCAAAAACATCCACCGCACATAAATGAGGAGGTTTATTTTCCGATAACTGCCTCATTTACGCCAGACGTAAATTACTGAAACCAGCTTCGAGCAGCACCGTCATAGGTACTTACTAGTAGTAGGCGATACAAGTCGTATAATAGACACAATATCTATATATTGGGCAACAAACTATGAACCGGATACCGCTGCAATACAACGTCACTTGACAGAACATTCTAACACCGTGCTCGAAGAAATAATAATAACGTAACATATCAATGATAGAATACATTCGAAATTAGTACGCGAAAAAATACGAGATATTATAATTCAGTAAAACAGAATCCCGTATATTGTTTGTTTTGCAATAACCGGCCAAATTTGCAGAGGAGGTTCAGAATAAGTAATATAGGCAAATAGTGAAGAAAAATTAATATAAAAAATCTCAAATATTCTGACCTTTTTATCTTTTTAATTCAAAATCCGTGGTAATGCATTATTTTAACTGATTTTACTACTTACGCACATATTTGTAAAGGTCGATAGGTAGGCAAAAAAGTTGTTGCTCATAAATCGCATTCAATTTGGGATAATTTCAAATAAAGGATATATATCAATTTGAACTTAAGTTTAAAATTTGACTACTCTTTGAAAAATAACCCTGTAACCCTTACTCCGACTCTTCATTGCAGGATATACTCATTTCAAAATATCATAGATATTAACCAATACGTATTACATATGTCGGAGCGTCTATAAAATACCCGGTGGATTGAGGTGGATGGAGGGTATATCGAGAAACCCTCGCTTGTTTGTGCAGTATAAAGTTCACTGTAGGTGCTGTGCGCGAGAGATTCCGCTCAAGTCATTCAACGAGTGCGGTCACTCTACTAGTGCTAAGATAGTGTCGTGGTTCTGTTCGTTGTTGTAATTCTTCTAGTGCAGTCAAGGAGGATTAGTGTTGCTGAGATGCTGTCCTGTTACATTGAGATAAGTATTGTTGCTGTTGTTTTACATATTTTGGTGTTATCATTTAATTACGTACATCACGTTACACTGGTGTGTGATTGTGGCTGAGACGTATTACGGTGTGGTCGAACTGTAATTTCACTATACTAAATGTATAGTGCGTTACGTCGCTTTATTACTGATAATGATTAAACTGCATAAGCAAGAGAGCATGTTGAACATCCGCTCTCACACTTTTATTATCTTTAACAGTTAATGCTATCCTGATGTATTTCCGAGATCAAAATTGCGATCCTATGTTGTAATTCTCCGACATCAGAAGTGGGATCTCCTGTTGTCATTTCCGATATCAGAAGTGGGATAAAGTCCCTGTTACTGCCCACCTGTTATAACCTTTAAATAGTGTGAGGGTTATTACGTTGGTGAAATACTATGGATTTGCCTCGCGTTTTGTTTTTGTGTTCAATTTCTTAAATCAAGTTTGTTATCGTATTTACGACGCTGACGAATTCTTAAAGTGTAGAGTAAAAGTTAAAAGTGAAATATTTTAAGCCAAAAGTTAAATCTTTTTGTTCGATTCATAATAAAAGTACCCGCAAGTACTTCCATTATTTCTTAACGTAACCAAATAAGATAACTAATGTCGAAAGAAATGTTGGAGGTATTCGAAATGAGTTATAGTTTGCATTCAGTGGAAATTTAACTTGCTCGAGTTGTGTTATAGTTTGATACACGAGGTGTGATTTACATGGGCTAATTCTAAAGTTTAAAATGTTTAAACCATGTACCGAAAAAAAAAAATTAACTTTAACGTGCTATGAATTAAAAACACTAAGTTGTATTTCTGTGTTCTAATGTGTTGATAAGTGTTACAGTTTACTGCGAGTATTACGTTGTCGATAAAATTGAGATTTGATGTTGACGGTTTAGTGGAAGGCGTGGTGCTGTGGCACTCGCTCTTGAGTGGAAGTATGCTGTCGGCTTATGACGCCGCGGACCCATTATTTGCCGCTGCTACCGATCACCAGTTGATACATGAGGAAAGTAAATTTATCCTAAACATTGTCTTAAAAAATACTTAAGAATAAGTGTTTGACTTTATAATTGGTTGCGAAAAATGCCGGAAAACCAAAGTACAGCTGACGAAATTGAAGTAGAGCAAATTAGTAATGTCATTGAAGAGTGTATTTAAGTTTACATGCGGATCGGACCATACCAGTGGTTGTCGTGTAGCTGCAGCTCATTATATGGTGCCCTGGAAAGATGAATAGTGTCCTGAGAGTACTGCTGCATTTTTTTTTAAAAAGTTCCTACTGATTCCTTTTAATGTTTTCTTTTGTGTTACAGTAGTACGTGCGATGTGATTACATGTGTGCGCGAGCGTGAGGCGAGGGTGTGCCTTGCTAGTCGGAACGTACAGCCAGGTCCAGCTGTAGCGTGGGCTGGTTTCGGCAGACGCGTATACGCAGGCGCCATACCGGAGCGCGCGAATGCTGTACATGGCGGTGCCTCGGAAGCCTTACACTATGTGTGCTCGGAATTCCTACACTATATATGCGCGGAAGTGTTATACTCTGTATGCGCGGAAATCGTGTTCTCTGAACATGCATCAGGCTCTGTCCTGGCAAGCGCTGTCCTGGTTCATGTTTTAACGTGGTTCACGTGGTTAACGTGTGATCTCTCAAGTTCAAGAAAGAGTATGTGTCAGATACTTGTGAAAGCAAAGTTCTTTTTATAGTTAGAGGTATGAGAGCATATTTCTGTTTGGGGGCCTCGCATGCGTGATGGATGAAAGGATAGGCAACTGTGTATGTTGTCCTGACAATTAACAACTTGTTTTTCACGCAGATCACGGTGAAAATAACCCCGACGATGCCTGTGAACCCTCAGGTGCGCCTACTGCTCCTGTTGACGCTTCGAGTGCGTGGTGTGGCGC